CCCCGCCAACACCCCTTGCAGAGCTTGGGCGAGTGCCTGACCACGCCCTACCAATCCCAGCCAATAAGGAAGCCCTCCACGGCGTGCCGTTGCTAGGCAACGCCCGAGGTGGGCCCCTGCCTGGCGGTTAGACGTAGCCGCTTTCCGTTCCTGTCCGTGAGAGCTCCACCTTAGGATTGGTATCTGGGGGTCCCTTTATGGGCCTCCTTCAGACTTTGTCAGTGGAGTTTTATTTTTTTAGTTCATAATTTATTTTGGTTTATGGAAGAGAAAGCTATCCCCTTCCCCAAAGGGGAAAAGCTCATATAAAAGTTTGTGACTTTCTAAAAAGGAAGGAAGTCCAGGCTTGCCTGGCTGCACGCTGTCCGGACTTCCTTATCCGGTTGGTGGAGAACCCAAATGACTCAGTTTCCCATTACTCCTCAGTCAGAAAGCTGTTCAGGGATTTGCGAGTTGGGGAGAAATTACTGGAGCCCCTCACACCAGTGACTGCTGAAGTAAGACGTTTCTGGGGGGAAAAAAAAAACTTCCCTGAGTGGGGCACAGGCTAAGCCTGAAGGATTTCCAAGATGACCAAGGTACCAGCCACCAAGAAGATACAGAGTTCCCCCATCTCGGGGGCCCTCTGGCCATTTTATGCCTCAGATCTTCCAACACAGGTGAGTCGTCTCCTCTGCTGAAAATAATCATGTTTTCAAAACCAAGTGAAATAGGAATTCGCTTCCAGACCAAGAAGGGACAGAGGAAGAGAAAAGAGTCATGGTGTAATTAAATTGTCGGGACACATGCCTGTTGTTATCAATGGTTGGTTTCTCGTAAAGAATGAGAACGCCAGGCAGAACGGTGAGCTGGGCCATCCTATTAGCCAGTAATTCCAAGATGATGGAATAAATTGGCAATGACACTGTAGAACATCAGGAAAAATTAAGATGAATTGTAGGTTTGCCGTCGCAGAAGTTATTTTCAGAAATCCACTGGGCTCGGGGTACATGTGTTTCCTTTTTCTTTATAGAGAGACTATGGAGCGTCAGACTTTGGGGTTTGAAGTTTGATTCTACTTCTCACCAGCTACTGACATTAGACAAGTTGTTTAGCATCTCAGAGCCTTTATTTCCTCGTGTCTGCAAAATGAGATGGGAACATCAGCTGGGCAGAGATGGTGTGAGGACTATCAGATATGGAAACTGTTTCCAGTGATGATAACACTTGATAATGTGTATACATGACAAATATTGTTGTTGGTTTGAAAGACAAAGAAAAAAATCAGTATGTGTTCAGTGCTGGGGTCAAGTTGTTTCTGTTTTTAAGTGATCGTACCTGGGCAGGCCAGTTATATCTTGGTTAAGTGTGTCTTTGTTAAGTGTGTCTTTGTCATTGTATCTGCAAACCCCTGTATCACCACTAATTGGCCAGGGTAGGTAAACAGTGGGAGAGGGGGTCAAAGGCAATGGAGGGTGTCGGGGGGAGGGGGGAGTAGTCAGTGCACAAAAGAGGGCTTAAAACTCACCTGTGCTTATGTGCTGGTCCAAAGTGTTCCTGCGCTTCTGTTTTCTAAGGATCAACACATCTTTATACACCCCTTATCACTCAGCCCCCTTTGTGAGCTCATGCTGAATGATGCAGTCTTTACGTGTCTCCTTTCATCTCAAAATGCTACACGGCAGTGGGTTTTATCCAGAGCAGCCGCCTCTGGGAATGACCTTCCCAGCATAGTAATGGTAGAAGAGAAGGAGGGAAGGAATGAGGGATGAGGTAGATGTTTCAGAAGCAGAGGGAAGTGTGAGCACATGGGCCGAGGACCCCGATAGCCTGGCTTGAACCCTAATCTGCCTCTTAGCAGCCCTGTGACCTTGGATAAGTTACAGAACTTCTCTGCTTCAGTGTTGCCATCTCTAAAATGGGGATAGCATAATACTTCCTCCTGGGACAGCTGTGAGCATTCAGTGATACGTCCACAGCTCTGAGAACAGTGTCTGACACGTAGTTAACACTTCCTCGATTTTTCATTATATTTTGTTTCATTCATTTAACAAATACTTATTTTGAATTTCTGTTATGGGCTGAATACCTGCTCTTGGAGAAAATGTGACTGCCTTAAAAATGTTCAAACTTGGTAGTGTGTATGTTTGGCATGGGAAGTAAAAGCGATAAAAAAACCAGTAGTTATAATGCAGGGTGGCTAATGATGTGGTAGGGATGTATCATTGGGTGTTGTGGGAATTTTGAGAAAGACAGTTAACTCAGATGTGTGTGTGTGTGTGTGTGTGTATTTGAGTGTGTGTCAGGATGGGGAGGGAAGAAGTCATGTACCTAAGTAAATACAATAGAGCTTTCCATCTTGGGACAGAGAAATTAAAGGAAGTAGAGGAAGATATATAGAAGTGGAAATGATCATCTCTTTCTTGAGAGGATGGTAGGTGGGACTCAGGGAGGTCCAGAGAAGGGAAGAAGGCTTCCAGGGAACTGCCGAATAAACAAGACCTCAGGCACAAAACTCACTGAGATCCTGCTGCCCCCGCACCCTTGTCCAGGAAATAATGAAGACCCTAGGGTGTCCCTGGCTCACATCTGAAGTGTCACACCTCTGTAAGTTTCAACTTTGTAGATCTACCGTAAAGCATTGATTAAACCAGGCTCTCTAGAAAGTGGCAAGTCACAAGAAGATGTGTAGCGATTAGGAGCCACTTCTGGTGTAAATCACACTAGTAACAAATTGCAGTCTTATTTAACGCCCTATTAACAGTGGTGGTAATGATGCCAAGAGTTGGTGTGTCCTAAATATTCCCCACATGCCACGCTCTGAGCTCAAGTCTTCCCATGGAATGTTTTGGAACCATCTACAACACTTCAAAGTGTGAACTGTTATCTCCTCATGAGATAGGAGGCAATTCTGAGGCCACCTGAGGACAGGTCCCTTACCCAAGGACATGCAGCCAGCAAAGAACAGAGTGAGGATTTGCACTCTGGCTCCAGAGTTAAGTTCTCCTGGCCTCACCGTACTAATCAGACAGAGACAGTGGTTAGCATGCACCACAGGGGATACAAAAAGAAGGTGTAAGGGATGCTCACTGGCTTCAAATCATCTTCAGGTGTGCTGGGTGGGGGTGGGGGGTGGGCAGACGAATAACAAATGCCAGGGCGGCCAGGTAAGTGTCCAGTGAGGAGTGATCCGAAGAAGGATCCAGCTTTTCGGAGGAGGAGGGTGAGACCACTTACTATGAGTCCACCGTGTGTTCGTGCAGTGGGTGACACTTGGTGGGGAAACCTCCTGAAGGGTCCTGAAGCTCTCTGATGCCAGCCGTGTTCCTTCTCACGGGGATGGAAGTTGCTTTATCAAAACTAGCATTACAGCGGCACCCTTCCTTGTACAGCGTCTTCCTGTCAATTTCTCAATGGAGGGAATTTAATGTATGCAAATCTGAACGTCTTTTGTGGAGGAAACCTTCTAGTTGGCCCTAAATCGGGCTCCCTAATCTGTTTAGGGAATTCCTTTTTCCTTTTTTTCCAGAGGAAGTAAAAGAGAAGTCTGATGGGATTAGCCAGGGGGAGGGAGGCAGCAGGGCACGTGTAGATTACCGTGGACCCACATTTTCTTCTTCGAGAAAGGTTGAAGAAAAGAGGGGCACTGAGAACGTCCCCCTCCGTGTCCCAGAATGGAAATGCAGGAATGGCATTTGGCAAAACCTGCAGAGGTGTGGAACCCTTCGTACAAGCTCTGTCTCTTGGTGGCAGAAAAAAAGAAGCATCCTTAACTTGGGCAGATCCCGAAAGAGCTGGGAGCTAGACTGGGTACTTTGCTCATACCCTAGCTCAGTGATGAAAAGAGCAGATTCTTCAGCAAACAACATGGCTTGAGACCCCAACTCTGTCACTCAACCATGTTATGGGGCCTGGAGCAAATCAGTGCCTCTCTGTGCCTCAGGTTCCTCCTCTGTGAAGTGGGCGCATTGTATTTTCTCTAAGACCTCGTCTCCTTCAAGATGCATCATAATTTCTTGTGTGTGCCCCGGAGAAAGAAAAGTCTACTGATTCAACTATCACCTACTTTCAATGATAAGAAGCGTCTGAGTTTCAGAGATGCTGAAATGTGGAAAGAAAATGTGCATCTCAGAAGAGATGAACTCTAGCTGAAAAATGGCTCCCGTCTCCTAGGGTTTTGTGGGGATGAGATGAGCTGATACGGGTAAAGCTAAATACTCTGAAACGTTAGCCATTATGACAGTGTTGTTTAATCTTTGAATTGACTCTGCGATGGAGGTGTAGTTACTAGACTGAGGCTTGAAGAGCTCCAGCGTCAAGTTCTGTGCTGAAAGTTGGCAGGTTCGGGGAGAAGGGGGCAAACTCTGCCGAATCCCATGTATATAGAAGATCTTGGACTGAGCATCTCTGACCCCCATCACCTCCCATGTACCCTCCATCCCCCACCACCCACCCCTATGGTGAGAATGGAGTTGCCCAGGGAAGGTTTCAGAAGTTCAGCCCACTATCCAGCCCGGCCTCCTGAAATCAACAAAGGAAAGATTTCCCCCAACAAGAAAAACCTTGACTTTCAGCATAATACGTTTCCACTGCGAGCATGAAATGATTTTCCTCTCTGTCCAGATAGGAGAAATTGTGGCCTGAAGAGGTAAGTGGTGCGTCATCAGTCCTTGTTCGAAGTGGGCTCAGCACTGGATAATTTCTCTGGCCTCTAATCACGGAAGACTATGTCCCCTGCACTGAATCACTGAATCACTCATTATCCTGAAAATAAAAGATCTAACAACCCACTTGAAATTCAGTTCAGAAGAATCCCAGCCAGCTGCACCTTCATTTTTATGCCACTTGTGAATTAGGTCGGGAAAGTGAGGCCTCTCCTCTCTCCAAAGGATCCTTTGGCTCCATTGTTACAGCATCGAGACAATTGCAGAATTCAAGTTGTTTTGTTTTGTTTTCTTCTGCCCTGACGCTTTGGGCTTGTGATGCTTGCCTTGGCGAGTCTTGCTGTGTCTAATTGCCGGCCCACGTGACAGTCGGCTCCCCTCCGTGATAAATCAGACTGCACGGAAGTCGTGTGTTCATTACCTCCTGACACAGGAAGAGGCTGTAGGCACTTTCTTTACGCTGGACCAAATGAAGGAGCCCTTTGTCTCCTCTGTGCAGAGGCAGCTGCTCAGCCTGGGAGGGGAGGGCGGGGGAGGGGGGTGAGCGGTAGAAGAAACATGATCAGAGTCTAGTTGATGGGGGATGCAAGCTTTGTGACGAGGGAAGAGCTCTGCCTTTGAAATCAGACGTGGTGGGCTCAAATCCCCTTTCTGATGCCAATATGAAGTTCTGTGAAATGGGTTGAATGATGATAGCGTCCACCATATCTTTGGGAAATCTTTTGGAAAGATTAAATAAAATAAAGCACCTAAAGTACTGAGCACAACTCTCGGTACACAGTTAACTCCCCCTTAAGTAATGACAGTTCCTACAATCGTTACTTATGCTCCTCTCTCTTCTCTGCACACACAAGCCACCATCACCATTTTGAAGACACAGCCCAGGTATGAAGTCTGGAGGAAGCTGAATATCAACTGTAAAGTCTCAGAGTCGGGGGTTTATCATTAGTGAGGCCAAGTCCCAGTTTAAGGATGGAAGAGAGGAAGCCTGTCTGGAGATATTTGTAAGAACTGGT